AGCATTGTAGGTATATCTATAACAATATTTTCTAAATTTCTTAAGGATGTATTTTTTTTTAACCCTGGCTTCACCATTATGTAACTTATCACTAGTATTATGTAATTTATGTTTATCGTTTGTGTATACTGTAGTAGTAGTAACTTTACAGTGTTTACTTTGTCCTTTTAAAATGAGTTTACAAGTTAATCAGTTAGAATTCTTGCATAGTTTTGTGGTTTGAATTTTTAAAATAGAATAGACCGTATAAGTATTGTATTTTTTATTTGTATCAATTTATTTTTAATTTGTTTTGCATTAACTGTTTGCTATGTAAACTTCATAAGCCCCTATGATATAGCTATTCATTACTTGGCTCATAACTGACAGTCTGTACTCTCACTACTCTGTCTGTGTCAGTGTCTGATACCATAGTGGCAAACCAGTAATTTTTTAGAATCAGTTCATTTTCTATTTTCCCATTTATATACTAGAGCAGTGGTTCCCAAACTTTTTCAGGCTGGCGCCCCCTTCGGCTCCCTAGTGAATTTCAAGCGCCCCCCACATACACATATAAAATCATGCGCCTTTCTATACAATTTAGTACGCTGCAATTTTAAAAGATAAAGGTTAAACGCAAATGTATATTTCACAAATAGAACCCTTTTAGTGAACGCTGTGAACCAATATGTTTTTAAGCTGCTTTAACTGTTTGAGCACTAGAAACCTAGGACTTCTCGGGCAAATTTACGGCCGGACTCGTGGCCGGTCACACGACCAATCTCCAAATTCAATTTTCAAGTAATATCTCCTACCTAAACTAATGGAGGCAGCTCAATAAAACTTGGAACACGTATTCATCAGAACCTATCGGTGATGTTTAGCTCGTGAAATTTTTTTTAAATATCACCTTCATTCGTGAGTTATTTTGCGATAAAGGCTGAAATTCACAGTGATCAAAGAATTTCTTTCAAACTACCGAACAAATTCGAACGAAATTTTGAATATACATTCCTTAGATTCCTAACTAACAAATGGTTCTATTTAGATTCCAAAAATTTTTTTGATTTTACCTTCGTTTGTGAGACTTTTTTCATTTCACCGTCATTCATGATTGTCACACTTCCTTATTCGCTTTCGTTTGCAAGTTATACAGATATAGGAGGAACGACCGGCTTTTCTACCGGCTGGTTTAACCAAGAGCCGTTTATGTATAGCCGTATAACTCGGAAAAGAAGGCAAAACTAAAAAAATTGTAACAAGCTAAACATCACCGTTGCTGAGGTTAGATATCCAAATACTAAATTTCGTTCAAATCTGTTCAGTAGTTTGGAAGAAATATCTTGATTACTGCGAATCAAAGCACGTATTGCTCAGCCTTGCTGTTTAAATCACGAATGAAACTCGCGAACGAAGGCACAATCAAAAAAATTTTCACAAGCTAAACATCACCGTTTGGTAGTTAGGACTGTTAATTCAAAATTTCGTTCGAATCTGTTCAGTAGTTTGGAAGAAATTCCTTGATCACTGTGAATTTCAGCCCGCATTGCCATATAATTATGGCAAAAACAATTGAAGGCAAAATTCAAAAAATTTTCACGAGCTTTACATTACCGTTAGGTCCTAATGAATACGTGTATCAAGTTTCATCGAGTTAAGTTCATTAGTTTGAGAGATATTTCTTGATCATTGAATTTGGAAATTGGCTGTGGGACCGGCCGCGAGTCCGGCAGTTAATTTGTCCGAGACGTAAACCCAGGAGAGGTTAAAAAAATATAACTCGGTACTCACTGCAGTGAGTGACAGAAAGCGCATTTTATCGTCCACGAAAACGTGAAGTCACGGACGGACAGACAGGCGGACAGATGGACAGACAGATGGACGGACATGGCGAGCACAATAGTGCATTTTTTCCGTAAATGAGAAAATGCTCTAAAAACAGATCTGGGTGAAAAAATCATTGACGGGAGTTATGTGCTGCACGCGATGTGGACAAATCGTCAAACAAACGTTCGAATTTCTGACTTCGACTTCAGACTGCCGCCCCCTCTTTCGCTCCCCTATCGCCCTCTTCTTCTTTACCGCCCCCAAAAATCTTTCCACCGCCCCTAGGGGGGTGATATCGCCCACTTTGGGAACCACTGTACTAGAGAATTAAACCAATATCTTAACTATGATGATGCCATGCTGGTATCCATGATACTTTGCTAGTCTACTTATAGGACTCAAAATTGAACTTGAGTTGAAGGTGAGTCTAAAGAACTCTCTGCTTTGCCACTATGTCTGACACTGCCACAGTATTGAAAGGAGTGAGTAAAGTATTGATCTAGTAGCAGCCAACTTGGTCCCACTGTCTCAGTCAACTTGTAATTTTTACACTAGCCAACTAGGGTAATTCTTAAACAAATATTTTATTATGTATATTACATCTTTTATTGATTTATCTATTGTCCCAGCCAGGATTGAAATTTTCCTATTTGTTTCTGAAATATTGCAGCTCAAATGTGATAAATTTTTAATACATTTGCAATCTTGTGGCCCGATCTTGCATTTTTGTTGATAGTTGAATTAAATTTTGTTTTGTTGTTGAATTAAATAGGAGGTACCGTAATTCATCTGGCAGAAATCTCATGGTTCCGGAAATGGCAGAAAAGCTCTAGTTTGCAGCCCTAAAGGTAGATGTTTTACATGCTTGGTCCAGGGCTCCAGGCCAGGCTAGCTGTAACTAAATTTGTGAAGCACTGAGCTCATCAATTTACAGCAAGGAAATTGAAAAGAAGTGTGAGCTTTTTAGGCCTAAAAATCCAGATATAAACAGAAATAATTTTGAATAGAAAAATTATTGTTGAATGCTCTGCTAAGCATTTAACATCTAGCTATGTTTTATTCAAAATTTAACACCACAATATTTTCCTTCACTTAGTCACTAGTCAGTCAGTCAGCACTCAGCAATTAGTCTGGCAGTTTGCTAACTGCATGACAACTATTTTTGCATTTTTTTTTCAAAAACAAAATGATTAATACAACTTGCTACGGGTTGCCTGCCTAATACCACCACTGCCCTGGATGTAATGGACAGTGCTGGGCAGCGCTACTTTGAAATGTAGCGCCGCTACTGCTACATGCTCGAAATGTAGCAGCGGCTACTGCTACCGAGCCTACCGCTACACCCATTAGATTGTAGCGAGCGCTACTGCTACAGTAAAATGTAGCGCCGCTACAATGGCCAAAATTATTGGAAATCTCTAAATATTTATTGTTCTGCTATTGGGATTTACTCATAAATATTTAATGTTAATAAACCATTTTCAAAACATATCAATGCAACTTTATTGCACATAACCTAACCGAAGTAGTACGGGTTAGATACAGTAAATAAAAGTTACAGTTATTTTTATGTTTTACCTTCCCTACATGGATGTCTACTTTAATCTACCAATCTCAAAAATTATCCACATATACATATAAAAAATCAGTCTTTTATTTGTATATATATATGGATTATACTTGAAATTGGTAAATTAAAGTAGACATCTATGTAGGGAAGGTGAAACATAAAAATAACTGTAAAAATAACTATAAGCAAACTGGCAAATACCTGTAAGTGGTAACTGGTAACAACTTAACAAATAACAACTAACATGTTGACATTAGTAACAGGCTGAGGTTGACAACATTACACCAAAATCTTTCGTACAGTTTTATTCTGTAATTTATATTGTGTATGTATCATGCTGGTTTTCAAATAATATATAATACTATTAGGTAAAATCAAAAGGCTTTATCTATAAATGTAGCGGTAGCACTGTAGTGGCAAAACCTCGTATCGCTACTTAAATATGAAGCGGGCGCTACCGCTACTGCTACAATTGCTTAAATGTAGCACCGCTACCACTACTGAAAATATAGCGGCCGCTACATGTAGTGCGCTGCTGCCCACCTCTGGTAATGGACCATCATGATTCCTGCCTTCCAGCTTCCGGAACGTAGCCTTCAACACTTCAAGCCGCCTGTATCTAGGCCGTGGGTCAAACCAGCCCTCGGTCGAACGGCCACTTGTCGAAGGAAGGTAAATTTTGGAACAGAACTATGCTATCTGAAACCTAACCTCAGATGCAATGAACGTAAAATTACGTAATTTAACGATGCCTGGAAGTCATATTCGATCCGCGGCCTGGTGGTAAACGGCTGGTGGTGGTCAAGGCCGGAAGAGGACAAAGCCAAGTGGTGCGCGGCTGATTGGTGTAGGTCCGGAGAGATCCAAGGCGTTCAATTCAGGGCTTATTGGTACACAAAATTGGTGGTGCACGGCTGCGCTCTCCTTGCTACATTGCCTTGAATTAGTTGAATATAAAGCAAATGGTTTTTGTTGCTCTTTATAGGGTAAAATTGAAGATATAACTCTAAACATTTTGGGATTTGACCATCAACTTTACATTTTATAAAATACATTCACATCTTGAAAACTGAACTTACAGTTACAAATTTGATGAATTGACAGCACCAAAAAACACAGTTGCAGCTCAGAGAGTCAATCTTTTTCACATTAGATTGCAACTTCAATATTATCAAAAAGCAGTTTGGATTTCTATATTTCTGAATTCTGATCAAACCAAAATACTCAATTTTTGAGTTTGGAGGTACACTATTTCAAATACACTGAAATTATATGATTTTCATGCCATGAGGATGCAGGATTTTTCCAATCTTAACTCAATCTAAAAATATTAGCTCAGACATAAAGAGAAAATACTGGCAACTTCAGTTGCACTTTCTTCGAGAGCCCTATGAGTAAGTAGCTCAGTGAATTAGTAAAATTTTGATTGTATTTGCCGCATTGTAATAATAACATATTTTGGCCTTTATGACAGGGAAGGTGGCCAAACGCAAAGTTTTAGAGATTACTTTCCAATATATATGTGTCCATTCCATTCAGTTTTATGTCTGAACAATTCCTCAACCACTTTCTAATGTTTCAGTAAAAATTTTCTGAACTTGAACATTAGCATTGCTGTTTAGTGATGGCATCAAACACCAGCTATGATGAGGATAAGGAGAATTGGAGGGAAAGAGCTGAGGTGGTCACCAAGCTGTCGCATCATGCTTACCTGGAGTATGCGTCTGAGGTGATAGAGGAAGCTGTCAGGAACGTCACAGTGCTCAGGAACAAGACCAATATACCACAGAGCTCTGTGACTCTGGGCACTCCTCAGCTCAACAAACTGAAACTAGCTCATCTCATGCGAAATCCTGGCATAATGGCAAGCCCAAGTAAGACCTGTACCCTTTGTCACTATGTTGAATGGTATAAAGGTTTAGCATCAAATGGCCATTGAACAGTACTATTTAATGTGCATTGTAAATGAGTTAATGAGGCACATTTCTAGGTTGAATGACATTTTAATCACAAATTAAATTATTATTCAACAGATTTATCATCATAAACCTGTGTAATTGTTTCTGTATGTCAATTTTAAATGGTTTGACATGACATTGACAAACTTTGTGCAATATATATATATATATATATATATATATGTATATATACAATACTGATAATGGTAATAGTGATTGTTGTTGTAATCCATTGTTTTACCTGCCATTAACATGATGCTTATTAATTTGTGTAGTTTTAGAATCAAATTGTCCTTGGCTCTAGCATGTACCAAATTCTCTAAACAGTTCACTTTTTACAGGTGTGACTGACAACTCCTTCTCTTCATGCTTGTCATCTTCACTTGCATCTCCAGTTGCCAACAGGTTGGTTCTTACACATTCAATAACTATACTGCCTAGGTTATGTTAAGTCTCATTTCCATAATCTTGTGTTGTGTAAGTTTCATTTCCTTCAGACCATCTAGAAAGTATACAGCCACTTGTTCTGTTTCTTTTAGGTTGGTCTTGTTTATTCTTTGGGCAGAAGTTTTTTTCCATGCATCACACGTTTAGATAATTGTTATCAGGATTGATTCAATACTTATTGTAGCATACGTTATTGTATCATCAAGGTTACATCATTTTCCTGTAGTGTGTTTCTACCGTGAACATGTGACATTGGTCAGTGATAAATAGCATGGAAATAAAATTTTTGGTAATTATTGCCAAAGTTGCCCCAGATAAGAGTCAATCAAGTTTTACTGGGTAGACTAGAAAGTTTACTTATTAATGAAATTCAGATTTAAATTTGTGTTCTCAATTAATTATCAAATGGTTATTTACACGGTTCCTCCCCACCTGAGATACTTACTTTCCAATTCATATACCGTTTCCACAAGTTACTTTACTCTTTCATAAACCACTCAAATCTGTCAACTCTTTTACAGAAGTTCTACTTTCAACGATTCTCTGCTTAGCAGCTTTGAGAAGATGCACTTGGATGAGACAGTAATTCTCAATGATCCAACACAGCAAGTCTCTACTCCTACGCATGAAGTGGTTACTGAAGAAGATTTCAACAGATCTCTAACTTCAGATCGTACTGACAAAGAATGTCTTCCTAAGTCAGTTTGTCCTGGGTTCAGTGATGATACAAAACTTTTAAATAACTGTCAGACTAAAGAGAGTGAAACATGTATTGAGGAGCAAGATTTTAATTCAATGGCCACTCGAGCCTCACCAAATGAAATTCAAACCAGCAATAAATCCTGTGATAATGTTTCCCTTCCTGAAAACTCTTCTCAAGACTGTTCAGGGAATGTTGAGTGTGCATTTTTTTCATCAAAAAATCTTGACACAACTACAATTGATGATGCATTACCTCACCTTGACCCCAGCCAAAATGAAGAAAATATCCTAGCTATCTCCTCTTCATGTTCACTAGTAAATCAATCTGCAGATACTGCGGTAACAGCATCTTTACCTGAACTACAGGCAGACAATAATTATTGTCTGCCTGAGCAACTTGAACGCATGTCACTGGGTGAGAGTGTATCTGTGATACAAAATGAAGACAAATGTGAACGCCGAGAGCTACTTGAACCTAGTCAAGTGAGTGAAGATAAAGAACTGAAAAGAAAATCTCAAATTTATGACCCTATTGATTTCAGTAAAATGACAGCTGAGCAATCTTTTGCAAGTGAGAGCAGGTCTGAAGTTGAGGACTGCACTGCAGTGGGAATGGAAGTTGCGGTGGATATTGTACCTAACATTGCATTGTTTTCTGATGTAATGAAATCTGATGTTAATGATGCCACTGGAGTCAATGGGTGTAGTGAAAGTGAGAAATCTTTGAGAATGGAGCAGCTTTGTGAAGTGGCGCAACCGTCTGAAGTGGCAGTGCCGTCTGAAGTGGCAGTGCCGTCTGAAGTGGCAGTGCCGTCTGAAGTGGCAGTGCCGTCTGAAGTGGCAGTGCCGTCTGAAGTGACAGTGCCGTCTGAAGTGGCAGTGCCGTCTGAAGTGGCGAAACCGTCTGAAGTGACAGTGCCGTCTGAAGTGGCAGTACTGGCTAAAATGGTGATACCTGAAACTGATAAGCTGCCCGAAGCTGATAAGCTGCCCGAAGCTGATAAGCTGCCCGAAGCTGATAAGCTGCCCGAAGCTGATAAGCTGTCCAAAGCTGATAAGCTGTCCGAAGCTGATAAGCTGAGCCGCCGAAGTTGAGAAGCTCCCGGACGCCGAAGTTGAGAAGCTCCCAGCCGCCGAAGTTGAGAAGCTCCCTGCCGCCGAAGTTGAGAAGCTCCCAGCTGCCGAAGTTGAGAAGCTCCCTGCCGCCGAAGTTGAGAAGCTCCCGGACGCCGAAATTGAGAAGCTCCCTACAGCCAAAGTTGAGAAGCTCCTAGCCGCCGAAGTTGAGAAGCTCCCTACAGCCGAAGTTGAGAAGCTCCCAGCCGCCGAAGTTGAGAAGCTCCCAGCCGCCGAAGTTGAGAAGCTCCCAGCCGCCGAAGTTGAGAAGCTCCCAGCCGCCGAAGTTGAGAAGCTCCCTGCCGCCGAAGTTGAGAAGCTCCCTGCCGCCGAAGTTGAGAAACTTCCTGCCGCCGTATTTGATCAGGCTTGTGCTGAAGTCACACTGCCTGCAACTGAGGAACATTCTACTGAAGAGCCAACTGAAGCAAATAATCTATCAGCAAATGTTGAAGTACTGAAATTAGGTTCAGAAATTGAATGGCAATTTGCAACCGATCACAAAAAGTCAGGATCTATTCCTTGCAGTCATTCATCATCAGAAGATTATCAAGCTAGTGGAGGAACTAAATATACCGGTACAGCGGTTTTATCTCCAGTTCAAGCCACGGTCAAGCCAAAAGTTTCAGATGAACGTAAATCCCTCTCAAGTAATACCATTACCTCCAATTCGGATTCTTTTGTCGACACAAATTGTAACAGGTCACAAATGGGTAATGAATCTATTCTGTCGGGCAAAGGCAATTATTCTGTTGCTGATGCTACATTATGTGAGCTAGAGAACGAGCTTAAATCTGCACTGTTTAATAGAAGAGATAAAACCTTGAAATCTTTTGATGATACAATTACAGTTGGAGAAGACGTTTCTCTCTCAATTCCAGAAAATACTGTGTATAAATCGCCACCACTTCCTGCTATTGCATCAGCTAAAAGCGTGATGAATGAGTTTCGAAACTCGGCAAAGAAAGAAAATCAGGGTCTGGAAAGCTCAATGTCTCACAATGCTGGTTTAAAGGAAGTTGATCTTGACCTCCCTGGTGACACAAGCTGTTGCAGTGAAGTGTTCCAAACGCCCACAGGGCCTGGTAAGCCTAAATATGGCAAAAAACTGATGAAGAACGACGATAAAGTTTGCTCAGATTCGCCTTCCTTCCAAGCCAGTCTCACAAAGAAGAGCATCATCTCTAACTCTCCCGTTGTGCTGGGCAACTTTGCGAAGTCTGGCAGTCTTGACGAGTTCACTTCGACACGTGACGACTTCAGCTCAGAACTGACGCAGGTGTTAATGAAGGAGGAGGAGCGGTGCCACAGCGCCGGCAAAACTGCCTCTGCACGGATGCGGCAGTCGATGACAAGTTTGGAGTTCGATGAGATAACTAACAGTGCCTTAGCCCTGGTCCGGCAAGTCACTCCTGACCGTGTGGGCAGCAGCCGCCGCTTCACTGCTGCCAAAACCCCAACATCCAACAGTAGTGATTCTCCCTCCACTCCCCTTACTTTTACTGACGCATCTAAGTGTGAGTATCGCATTTGACCAGTTCCTGTTATTTAGGTTGTTAATGTTGGAAAGTGATGTAATTAACTTCTTCACTATTGCTTCCCTTACTGCAAAAGCGTGTGTTTTGCTTTTGAAAAGGACATTACAGATTCAATAATATTTGAATCAATGCCGACAGAAGATTGTCATTTACCAGGAAAGCTGATGACAAATTTTATTGGTCTTTACGGAACATGCAAAAGGTTTTTAGTTTTTCCAAGCAAACTTGCACTGGAGAAATATGGAAAAATTTACCTTCCCTTCATATATTTTTCGCTTGACTTATGAAACTTTAGGTGTGATATAATAATGAATAACATCACAGTTTTTATAAATTCTTTCTTAAATGTTATTATGTTGCAGGAACATCGCAAATTACGAATGCACCTCTTATTGGCTTCCCTATTTTCAGTTTTCAACAACCCTCAAGAATTGGATGAGCTGGAATGCCACGGCAGTCAGTCGTCCTACAAGTATAACCTCATCCGCAACTCTCTCTACGTCAAGTTTGACCCTCTAGTGGCCGGCCGGCCATCTCTGGCGCCTCTTCTTCATCAGAACAGGTTTAAATCTTTTCTTAAATGATACCACGATAATGACTTGTTGCAGAATAATGAAGTCTTGTAAATTCCAGCCATATTCAAACAAATGTTTGTTACCTGAAAAACTAGGCCTAAAATATTACATTATTTTAAAAAGAGTTAGAGTTCAGACCAGAAGTTTACTTGGCTTTTATAAGGTCTCTTATTATATTGGATAAATTAATAACTTCATATACAGCAAGTTTTATTTACACAAGTAGGAGAGTTCATTCAAATATTGATATGATATACAGATTATTACATATAAAGATTCCATCGGTCTGTAATCAGATGTCAGAGCTTTGTTTGGTCAAGTATTATGGTAATAGTTTTGGACAGCATGTCATTCTGGATCGTAAAAGAATTCTTCTATACTCACAGGCTCCTGGAAGAGCAAAGTGATGACGAAACGAATGCACGACGCACAAGCGGCCTCATCTCCTTCAGCCCCTCCCCCCAGAAAGTATGTCAGGGTGCACGCAATTAAAGTTTTCTTTGTTTAATTATTGCACGGTAGGTACTTAAGTCTAATTTGTTGATCTGGATCTGTCAGTATGTGCTGATGATTGTGCTAGTTGTTGCTCTTGGGAATGGAAATGTTGTTAGTATCACTTGTAAGGATTTCACAACGAGCGATACCTAAAAAATTTCCCTCAACCTTATTTTTTACCATAAAAAAGACATATTATATTGGTATTAATTTATTGCGGACATAATTTTCTAATGTCTTGTTTTTAGCAAAGGAATTGAGAGACATATTTATTCAATGTGCATATCTCAGCATATTGACCTGCAGTTCTCTTTTTTTTCATTAAGGCTGGTGACACGACGCAGAATCTGCTGGACGTGTCAGTGCTGGACAGCACCGTGTTGGCCTCCCAGGGCGCCGCTGTGCCGGGTGCTGCTCAGCAATCTTTGCTCAGAGAAGACCAGACGCTCACGACCTGCTGCCGCTGCAGCACCGACGAGAACTGGGTCCCCGAGACTGAACTTAAGAACCTAGAACTCGCATTGGAGGTGATGTATTATGAGAACTGCGTCCTTGAGGCTGAACTTACTAACCTAGAAATCGCATTGGGGTGATGTATTATGAGAACTCCGTCCTTGAGGCTGAACTTACTAACCTAGAACTCGCATTGGAGGTGATGGATTATGAGAACTGCGTCCCTGAGGCTGAACTTACTAACCTAGAAATCGCATTGGAGGTGATGTATTATGAGAACTGCGTCCCTGAGGCTGAACTTACTAACCTAGAAATCGCATTGGAGGTGATGTATTATGAGAACTGCGTCCTTGAGCCTGAACTTACTAACCTAGAAATTGCATTGGAGGTGCAGCACTCTGTTCAGGAGATGCACCTGAAATGTTTGACGTTACTTATATCTTTAAAAGTTAAAAAAAACATATTTCCATACGCTCAAACTTGCGTGTTAGCAAAAATAAAATGATCTTGTCAAGTCTTAATTATCGTCGGTCTGGAGCAACTCATTAATTTTTTATTCTTTTTTCATCTCTCCCAGACATCCTGACATTTTTGTCAGGATGTCCGGATGGACATTTTGTTGCGTTGTAAAAAGTTGGCGAATGAATTTATTGGTACTCGTTATTTTTTCATTCCTGAAAATCTTCCTCTGTGCATTCAGTTGTAGCTGTTTTTTTTTTCGAGTAGGACAAAACGGACACGCTTTTCTCACTTGAATCAATTTTTTTTAGGAAGAACATAACGTTCTGAATTAACTGCAAAGCTGCAGAATCTTGTGTATGTTCTCGTGTGTTCTAATGTTCCCAACATGGATAAGCTGGTGCAAAACCCAACAAGTTTTCCAGGATGCCGTAATGAAATACTGAGTGTTACTGGTGAACTGCAATTAAAATACTTGATTCGCTCTTGAAAAAATTAATTTCTCTCAAATCTCAACTCCCTGACCTTATGATATGAGTTAAGGACTTCTTGTCAAAGGTAAAGCTGATGCGCCGCCTTGAATTAAGAGACATATTCAATCCCTGTTACCAAATTAATTAACAGTTGAAGCATGACGGTAACAATTGGATTTATTTTGGTAGTTGAGGTTGCATGACATGGACTTAGTATTAAGATATAAATAGTTTTGCAGTACGTATTAATGTAGGTCTTGTGCAGGCCAAACACCTGCGGAGCCTGCAGCAGTGCGAGAAGCAGGTGGCGGACTACAAGAAACGTCTCGAACAAGAGTCCATTGCTTGCCTCGACCTGCAGGAGAATAAGGCCATGCTTGAGTGAGTCCCTGGTCTGGGCATGATATGAGCCAATACTACCAAAAATAGTTATAAGTTCATAACTGTCAGCCAATCACTGACGGCTTCAAAATCTAAACATGTGCCAATCGCAGATGAGAAATCAGCCACTGTGTGTACTTGGGCAAGTTTTCGGAATACAGCGCTAGGTGTGTCATGAACTCCACTGCAGTCAGTTTGTGCAATGTTTACAACACGAATTAACCAAACGATATTAACATACCTGGTGAAGATTCTTATCAGCAATTTTTGTTTGATTTTGTACACTGTTGTTTTTTTACAACTAGCGAATAGAAGGTACAACACCATGTTGTGATGTGAGATGTGGTGAAATTATTCTCAGCCGTGTCTTGAGCGTGTGAGTTCATTGCATACAAATATTAGTACGATGTAATGACTCCAATGTAAGCTGCACTTAACCATTTTTTAGTTGAAATTATTCTAGCCCTTGATTGTCTGGGGTTGAAATTTGAAATGCTTTAGGTGTATCGGTAGAAATTTCAGTGAGAAAAACAAAATAAAATACTATTTGGATCAATAATAGTCCAACAAATCAGTTGCTTCAGAGTTTACACGTTAGCCTGTAAATTATTGGGTGGCTAAGATCACAAACTAACTCTTGTAATATCAGCCCTTTTCCACTCTTCCATGTTTTTTCATTGTAGCAATAGCGAGTTCAGTTCCCAGAGTGAATGCATAACAAACATTACTCTGGTGCGTTGGGTCCAACTTATCTTGCATTGCAGAGCCACACTGCGGCAGCTGCAAAAGATGATGCTGCAGATCGTCGAACAGAAAAAATTACTTGAGACTGAACACGAGGAGCAGTTGAACCAGCAACGCAAGGTTAGTGGACAGTTCATAACTTCTAACTGGATCTTACGCCCTACAACCTCTCGAGTTGTTCATTTATGAAGTTGAACATGTCTGTTACATTTATATAGTTGTGTTTAACTTGCATGTATTTGTAGAAACTTGCTTGAACTTTGATGCCTGCAGTAAAAGAGGTTCTGTGGATCACCGAGGCATATAGTGGCTTGCCTAGGTTTTATTTAGCTTAATTTCAGTAGTATGTAAAAAAACTTGTGACGTAAAGTGACTTCCTTGATGTGATTATTTCTACACGTTTTTATGGTTTCTTCTACTCCCCTGAAACATCAATTTACAACAGATCACAATGTGGTAATACGAATATTTATGTTACAAATGTTTCAAATTTATTATATGTAATTCCAAAATTGTTTATCCCGGCAGTATATCAACGTACGTGGATTTAAATCTTGTTACCTGTTCTATTTTATGTTCTCTCATTCACAGTCAACAAAATGACTATTAAAGAGTTGTACTGGGTAATATATATCTTCCTTATCATGATAGTATACCCAGTAATTGCAAAACCGAAAACTGTGACGTATTTTTTAAGAAATAGTTGAATATATTTTATTGTTGGTGCACTTGCTCATTTCTTGATGTGAATCACTAAGTCAACCCTTGTCGTGCAGACCCTCACTGGTGAAGTGGAAGCAGCCAAGAAAGATACAGAGAAATTGCAAGTTGAATACCAAACTCTTGAGGCCAATTACTTCGACCTTGTACAGTAAGTTTCTGCTTTTACCATTAAATGGCCACGCCTATAAAGTGATAATTTGTGTCTTCTTGTGTTCGCCAGTTTTTGAGCTGAAATGCTATTGGTATAAAAAATTAATCTTCAGAAAAGTAAGTATGGTGCTTCTTAGTCCAGTCATCAGGATATTATCTGGCGACGTCTGTTCGATGCTGCGTATTTAAACGATATAAGTTTAATTCCATGATCAAATGGACTAATCAAATGTTCATTATTGCTTTATGTAATTTGAAGTTCATGCTTGTTTTTATTGTGGCTGTAATGTTTGACGGGTCATGCATATGATATAATATGGAGAGAGCAATTACTCCTTTTTAGTCTGCTTGCCTTACAAGTTTTTAAATTTTTTATTTATCACTTGTTTGCCACCGGCAACTCGCAGTACCATGCCTCAAGATATCAGTAGCATTGACGACGGTTAATATATCCTTGAACATGTGTGATGCATTACATTTTTTTAATATCAGTTGAGCATATACAGTAGGGGGAAATAAATATTCGTACACTTGAAAAATCGTATTTTAATGTATGTAAGTACACAAACTTAACAGGAGAAGTGATTTATATTATGTATAGAGGCGCATTGTATTCAAAAATAGCATCAATAGAAATTAAATCTCAATGCAACAAAAATTAATGCAACATGTTAACTTCTTCGGGTCAAAAAAGTATTCGTACAGAACAACTTTTGACTAATATTTCACACCAGAACATTCCAGAATGTACTAGAAACATGTAGCACGTTCCAGTAATGTAATCAGTAACCATAGTTAACGTATTTTGCAACTACCAGATCAATCTGCAACTGCCCGTAGTACAAGAAGGTCTCAAAAATTGCTAAAGGTAAAGAACTAACAAGTTCCCAAAAATAACTAATTCTATCGCGTTTGAAGAAAGGAGAAAGTTATAGGAAGATTGCTAGCCACTTGCATGTTCCTTTTAGTACAGTTGCTTCGTTCATTGGACGCTTCAAGACCCGTGACAGCGTTGAAAACCAAAGACGATCAGGTGCTCCTAGGAAGATTTCTGCGCGATCTGCTAGATTATTGGGACGAAAAATCCAAGAAAATCCACAGATTACTCGAGGAGAGTTGCAAAGTCACCTGAGTGCCTCAGGAATTCAAGTAACCAAACGAACGATAAACAATGAACTTCACAGAAACGAATTAAAATCACGCACCCCAAGAAAGACTAAAATAATGCGGATTTATTGTTTTGTACGAATACTTTTTTCACCCGAAAAGTGAACATGTTGCATTGTTTTTTGTTGCATTGAGATTTAATTTCTTTTGATAGTATTTTTGAATACTATGCGTCTCTATGCATAATTTAAATCACTTTTCCTGTTAGGTTTGTGTACTTACATACATTAAAATACGTTTTTTCAAGTGTACGAATATTTATTTCCCCCCACTGTATGCAGGATATAGAGTAGTCAGTGGGCACTGAATCATAGACTTGAAATTTTACCATGTGTTTACAGGAAGTATCAACGCCTGCGCGAAGCAACCGCCACGCTGCGTGAGAACGAGACGCAGCTCAAAACTCGCGTCGAGGAACTGCACACCAAACTTCGCAATAAGAATGAGCAAGTCAAGGAGCTGCTCGTCGTCATCGAGGGAAAGTTCAAAAAGTTAGTTTCTGCTCATAATTTAATACGTATCTTGCTTGCATATTGCTACTGCTCTGATTGTTCATGAAAAACATTTTATACTCCACCAATGCCCGCTATTCTCTATGGAATCGAGTGAGTTGTACGTTTATTGTGGAGTATATTCTTATAGATTCATAATTTACGATGTTGGGGAAGAAATTCTGCATTCATTCAGTTAACTGTCTTCTCACTGCTTGTGACTGTGAACTAAAGATTGTTGTCAGCTCCCACAAGTGCGACCAAAATTTAATAATGATGCGAGTTAACTACGGACCAATTTTGAAATAAACGGTTAATGATTTGCCTATTGCTTTGCCTTGTATGTGCCATGTGATATTTTACTGAACTTGATCGTGCATTTATTGTTAAGTTTTCATTCATGCATCATCTATGGTTATATATTGTTCTAAATTATCATTGGCTGTTATTGACAATAGCATGAAAGTTTTTTCTTGACTCTTCGTTACTCGTTGGTGGATCGTGACTTACTATGTTAGACTGGTACTAACAATTGCCAGCTATAACTACCCAAGCGGCAGTGACAAACTAGTCAGCTGTCAATGGCCATTCCATGTGCAAGCTGATTGACTATTCCACCCGCAAGCTTTCCGTAGCTATTACACCCGGATGCTATCGACGGCTATTCCATACACTAAAGGGTGTTAAAAACCACACACACAAGATATTCATAACCGCCTTCACCCGCAGGGCTGAGGAAGAAGCTGCCGAGGAGCGACAGAAGCACGAGCAAGAGAAGCACAAGATGGTGGTGCTGCTGAAGCGCGCTGAGCTGCGCATCACCTCGCTGCAGGACGCTCTTACCCAGCAGCAAACTGAGAACAAGCAGCTGCATGGCCTGCTAGACCAGCTTGCAAACGCTAAAACCTGAATTTAAGCCCGCAAGGCAAACTTCCGAAGGCCTATCTGTTGAAGTTCTGCTTCCAGTCGTCTTTCCTTGTCGTTTTACGGTTTTTCTTACTTGGTAAAGCATCTTACTTACTTCTTATTTCAAGATAAACTTTATGGTGTCCGTTCTTATATGTGTAGTTATAAGGTAGAAACCCAAATAAACTTTGGTTCTGATAGGAGGGTTTTGCAGCAAATATTTTATGTTGCATTTATCATATACGTAACTTTAGCAGCAAGTGGAAGAGTATTATAACTAATTTGTGGGCAATGATCGCACTTACACAGGAACTTTAGTCATTCTTGTCTCCTGGGCTATTTTAGGCTTAGGATCAGACTTGGGTTTTTAAAGCTTTTTTTCACTGTCAATGAGATTTAAGAACTCGAGCTATCGGGGAAAATTTGAAGCTAGAATGTAGTTGCAGTAATACACATGGAAAATGACTCTTATTCAAGAAACGGGTGAGCCAAGGCCGAGTAGGCAACTGTGCTGAAATTCTTTGTGCTTTGACTGACGCTACAGCTTCATAGCTGTTCATGACGTCTGAATGCTATCATACTGAAATTTGTTGACGTTTGATGCATTTGCTCCCACTCTTCCTATCGTCTGTGAATTCGTTCAAGGTTAGTCAAATATCAGAATTGTATATAATATGCATACTATTACTCAGTAAATCTTCCAGTTCTTGATTGAAGTGCACATTTTATATGAAATAGGTTAGCAACTGAGATAAAAAAAACTAATAAAGTACAGTTAAAAACACGGTAAGACTTATTTTTATCGGAATCGTCTTTATTTATCATTGGGCAGACGTGGAGCATTTGGATTAGTCGGCATGGCCTCATGGTCATCTTAACCACTAACAACATGCATGAAAATTTTTGTTCGATTATTGCTTGTCACAAATCTGATCTCATTTGCATACACCCAAGACTTACAAACTACGGATAGACAAAAGGCTGAATTGTACCTATTTCAGATTCGCGCTTATTTTGATAGATGGCGCATCTAATCCAATGCTTCGATTTTGAAAATTCTCTATCAAATCCGCATCCACTCAATACCGTTCAGAAGAAAGCAATCGAATGACATAACGAATTTCTATGACTAGGAGCTGCTCAGCTGTTTGGTAGTCGCTTCAAACAAAAACTTTTAATTGACTATGAAAATCCTTGATACCGACAAGATATTTTGGAAACCATTTCCCTAAGTTTCTGGCACGGCAAGTTCATATTTTGCGCCCTCTAACTTTCAGCTGATAATAGTTACCTACTAAGGTTCGCGCCCGCCGAAGGTTGCTTGAGCCTGTGTGTCTCCCATTCCGCGGCGCCAACGAACAAGGAATATCATTTACAACATCCACGTCAGCCAAAGAACGCTGCCGGACACTACAATACTTTACTTGATTCAAATGACTGTTTTTCAGGGAGGGGCTAAAACGAGTGTCGTGGAAATCAATTGGAAGATTACAAAATTCTCTATATGAATTACTGAACGCTTTTGGTGATAGGGAGAAGAATAGCGCTAAAGGCCGCAGTTGACATAAAAAATGCCCGAGGTGGTCGTAATTTGCAAGACGACTTGATTTAAAGTGTGATTTTTAGTTTGGGCAGGAAAAAAAAAGAATGGTCGTTAGTTCCAGCTGCAATTCACGACCATGATTCCAGCCCATGGGTGACATGTAACAAGACGTTTTCGTGCAGCAAAGCCTTAAAACGGATTTGAAGAAATAGATAAGCATGATTGTAGCAGTTCACGTCAAATAAGAAAATAAACTTCCATTTTTTCTAACCTCGCTTTTACGACTGCTGGAAATATTTGCCCTGAAATGTATCACATTGAAAAGTAATCTTCAGAATATTCACTAAATAACTATTCAATAAAACTTCCAGTCAGCAGGCAAACAACTATTCGAAATAGGGAGGTGGAATTATTGGATTGAATCCCACATACATCCTCATATTCTTAATTAAATTTTTCTGGTGATAAATAATATTGCAGATACAATTCTATGTTGTATCGGTTCTTTATAAAGTTATACAATACTGAGTTTCATTCGATGTAAACATATCTAATGTATTTACAATTTATGTATGATCATGATATGTACAATAAATAGGATACTACCACAGAAGCGTTGAAATAAATAGGTTATTCGGTTCAATGTAGAGCTTAAGTAGTATCCAACAGTCTCAGTTAGTAAAAAGTGGGGCACCCGACTCGCGTGACTGACGAGCAGAATCGTGGGTGCATTTGGTATCATCCAAAACATGCGTGAGTGCATTGGTGGCTGCATCAAGTTATCATATAATTTCAATGGTGAAAGGCAGCACTGTGCCGCATTACGTTGGTACCCAATATGTAACGTGCAATCATTTAAATAATGTAATAAAGCACTCATAGAATGGCACAACTCTTGGATACAAGAGACATTCTGATGCAGTTGAGTACTAGGTAACATCACAACGCATCAGAGTACAAACATGATATCTAATGATAAAGTAAAAAATGAGTGACTTCTCATAAAACGACATTATAACTAGGCGCAATGGGGCAATATCCCTCTCATGATGCAACAAGCCAATCAGGCTGTGGCATGAGGTATGTGTCATTGTCACGAGTCACCACGGAGATTGCAGGGCCGTAGTAGCTGATAACGTAGTGAGACCCATCTGCTGGTCCGATGGTCTGCGTGGCTATCAGCACGATGTCGATCAGCTGGCCCAGGAAGAAGAAGCCCAGTGTGCTTAGCTTTGCCAGACCTATTGCAGGGTAACCAAGGTAGAACCGATCCAGCCCAAACATTCCAAGAAATATGGAGAGCAGCAGGGCAGTCTCATAATTGTGGCCACTAGTGGGTCTGCACACAAAATTTTCAAGCGAGTCAATCTTGAATTAGATCACATGAGCATTAGAGTGTTAAGGATAGCCACATCAAGACAGTCAATTTGAATTAATGCTGGAATATGTCCCAGCATTAGTATATTTGCATGAAGTACAGTATCAATTCCATGAATCCATTTGAAGCACTTCAGCATTAAAACAGTTAAACAGATATGCAAATTATGAAACAATTAAAACAAAATGACGTGTAGGTTTAAATAAACTTGATGCTGGTAGTGATTTTATGAAGGTATTTATTGCTGCCTCAAATGAAGTTATAAGAATTACTACTGATAAAGTAAAATATGATGAGGTTAATATTTTATACTATTACAGTTGAACTACAGATAGAATCATATATGAATCATTAATAAAAAATATCCTGCAAAATTTGTTTAGCTAGATGTTACTCTATTTTATTATGAACTTTATGCACATAAACCCAAACTATGTAACACTTCAGTAAGGAATAATGAATATCTGTCAGCAATTGAGAGAGCACAGCTTTCGTATTTAATTGAATAATTCATTGGTTATTAATAAAATGAATGATTTTGAAAATTGAAGAGAGGGATGAGTGAAATTAATTTCACTGGCAAGCATATGAAAGCAAATCCATGTAATTTGATCAAATAATGGGCAGGCAAACATCAAATAATGGGCAGGCATGAAAACCAATTAATTGAGACTGCTGAGTATCATCATACAATTATTGTAGTAACTTAACACACATTATTGCTACAAACTGCAAAGGCATTATTTATTACATGGTGTAAGTTCATGAAACATACCGACAGGGTGTGGTGCTGGTAAAGGTAGAGTTGCCTGTCTCGCTGCAGATAATTCCAGGAGCGCTCTGACACGTAATGTTAGCATAGTGTAGCTGATGATGACAGTTCTTGGGTTGTTGTGTGTTTGGGTCTATGTTGAAGTCTAAACATAAATACTGGCCAGGTCTCAGTTTGGAACAGTCAGTTCTATACTCCAAATTAGTCTGAGATCCTCCAGACTCATCTCGCTTCTCACTGGCAGCCTCACTTGCAACACCAACAACGAGTCCAATATGAAACAAAATTACTAAACTCAAATATGCTTGCTTGAATAAAACTAGAGTCATGCTTGATAACGAAATTATTTGGGAAAAGCCTGAAAAAGAGATGTAGATGTGTTTACCAAATTAATTTATGAAAAATATCTCTTAAATATGCATGCAATGCATGCATAGTATGCATAAAACAGTTCTTAAATAAGGACTGTCATGATTTTTGAAAATTGCAGGCATAAGTGCCTGCAATTTCTTCACAAGTGCCTGCAAATTTCTTCATTTTTGCATAACAAATTAGGCAAGGGCCATTGAAATGGTTGAAATTGTTTGCAAGCATGGAAGTTTTTGTATCATTCACCTTATTTCACAACCACAAGCAGCTTTTGTCAAATTTTTAATCTTGGTCATAGTTTTACTTGGTTGGCAAATATTGAAAAGACTCGTAGGGTAAACGCGGTATATTCCGACATCGTAGGTAATTCCGTCACTTCTCTAGTTTTTCCTTTATATTAAGCTTTGTTTTAGTTCCATGCGTTTTTTTAATAAATATGGCAACATTTTGTGACGTTTCATTGTTGCTGACGCGTAGTGAAGTGTTTTGAGAGTCACGTGAAGGCAACAGAACTTACGTAACGCATACGATTTTTTTTTATAGTTTTTCATTTCTCGATGCGTCCTTAATGTGTCGGAATATACCGTGTTTACTGTTTACCCTAGTCTCTTTTATGTTGACATAATTCTAACCCTGGAAAATCAAGGTTATCTTAGAAATATGAATTCAAACTGAGGCTAACAAAAGAAACAATACTGGTCAGTAAATAAGAATGGCAAAGTTGCCAATTGCATGTCTGATTGACTGGTAGCAGACAAGCTTTTAAAACGCCTACCTTTAGCAATTAGCCTTTAGGGCCGCAACTGGTGACTATAGCTTTCCCGCCATTTCCGGGACCGCAAGATTTCTGCCAGATGAACTACCTCCTATCTAATTCAAGTAATTGTTAACAAAAGTACATGATTGGGCTGCAAGAATGCAATTGTATTAAAAATTTGTCACATTGGGGCTGCAAGATTTCAGAGACAAGTACCTAGGAAAATTTTGACTGGTAGCAGACAGATATGCAATTTAATTCCCATAATGATTAATTGAATAGATGAATAAAATCTTATTTAATTCATATTGTTGACAAAAGTGCATAATCAAGCCACAACATTGAAAAGTCATTGAAAATATGAGACTTAGGAGCCACATGATTAGTTTCTAGCAATGATTGATATTTGGATTCCTCAGTTCCTGTGGCTATTATATATTGCATGCATTCTAGCATTGACTGGATAATCTGGATTCTCGCTACTGTGATAACTGATAATGCAAGCAGTGCCAAGCACTGTTTTTGCCAATGAAACACTAACAGGCTCAGCTGTGGACTGGCAGCTTGCAGAGATTCATCAGTGATGATGATTGATGATCAACTGAAAGTGGAAGTTAGCTGGCCTTTCCAGTTTTAAGGTCCTGCTTTCTGATTTGCTATGTTTACCAGTAACCAGTTAATATATTACCCCTCTGGAAACTGGAATTCCACACACAGTCACACTGTCACACTGCTGAGTGTTGATGATGATCATGGTAACAAAGGCAAAGAAGCAGGCAAAGGAGAAGCTGGCGTCCTCATCTGAATCTGGCATTGACGCACACCCTCCCTTTTAGTTATGGCGCTGCATCATTGTCCAAGTCAGTTTCAAAGTGTCATTAGGAGCACAAGCTTAGAAGCTCAACTTCTGCTCCTCACAGTCACAGTCACACACGTGACGCACCCACCCATTTACAATTACATATAATGCTGATATATATAAAAGAACGAGATATATATGCAGCTACTATTCTGATGGGCAAAATCATGCAAGGTAACTCAGTAGCGTTCGACTTCAACTGTGGCTATCGTTACTCGTTAACCGTTGAAAACGCCAAACCCCAAGGAAAATACTTCTATGTTGTGTTGTTGTGTACGGCTTGAAGGTGAAGAAGTAGTCGGAAGATAACCACTCGTTACACCTGGACTCAGCAGAAAGTTTCAGCGTCAAGTGTCAATGATCCTTGAAGTTGAAGGATCTATTAGCTAGCTGGTCTTCCAGATTTGATCACAGGTAAATCCAGGGAGGGTGGTGCTCATGCACTACAGGGAAGTCAGACGATTTGTTTGCGTCAAATAGGTGATTGTTGCTCTTATAATTGCATGTTGAACCCTTCTGCGGTAGTTGCCTCCTCCAAGAAGTATTCGTACAGTTAGATGGTGCACACCCATAAAATACTTCTAGAAAGTTTAGATTTAGAAAGCTAAAGTGGCAAACAAATCATCTAAAAATTTTCGTGGCGAGACGAATTCCGCTTTAAAACTTGAAAAAATGTGTAATATTTGAAACATGAACAACATAACATATTTGTCATAACACCACATTCTATAGCAATGCCTTGCTAGTTGCACCTAAGAGTCACTGCCCAGTGAGTGCCCATGGCTCTGTGATATTTTGGATTTTTTAACCATATCAATCTCAACTTATGTGATGGAGCGCAGAGTTATAATATACAGGGTGTTTCAGAATTAAGTAACCCTTTTAATTTGTTAATAAATAAAAAACTAAGAACGTTATGAAGTTGAAACTTGTTTTATTTAAAAGAAGAACATTTTCATGGTTCTTCTTCTTCTTTTCGGGATGTCCACACAGGGTAGACTTAAAGCCACAGGACAACCGCAAAACATAGCAATTTGTCAATGGATAACAGAGCCAAACAAGATTTGATATTGAAAACAGAAGCAATGGTTATATTCAAATACAAAACTATACAGGAGTTCTACCTAATTGGTTTGGGACATGTAACATAAACTTAACACATGACATTTGCATTTTGCAGTATATGATTGATTCTAAAAGATGACAAAATATTAATAATACAAAAAATAATAATAAGTACAGATGACAAGTTACACAATGATGTAGCCAAGGTTTCAATAGAATAATTCAGCCTTAATCAGAAAATGATAAAAATGTTTAAATACAATGCAAGAATTTTAACTACCTAACCTTGGCTGGCTCACAAACCTACTCCTACCTACTGCCTCTTCTTATGAAGAGAAGAGGAGGGGGAGGGGAGAGAAAGCCAGCCGGGTTCTTGACGCTAGAAGGACCCTTCACTAAATTATAGTAAATATACTCGTGGTATATATAGTAGTCCAAGATCAAGTAATATGTGACTTATAGGCGATTATTTACCGGTTAACTTAGCGGAATCAAGGGCGATAGACACTAGAGATGTTTACTCGATGAACACAGCTGACTCTCCCATTTTCATGGTAATATTGTATCATAGTTACGTCATTATCCTGTATAGCTTGCTAAATTTGTGTTTAATTATCAAGCCTTAAATTTTCATCATGATTCGCTACAGCAGAGAAGGAAGAACAAAAATTATCGCTACAGTCAATAACGATGTCAATAACAGAAGTTCAACGTGATTAGAGGATCCATTTCAAAACAAGGATCCTTCAAAAAACACATTTAAATATCTTTATCGAAAATTTGCGGATATCAAAAATTTGCACTCTCGTAAGAAACACTAATGAAGGTTATGAAAGCAACGAAGAGAAGAGCCCTATTTTGTCAAAACAATTGTGGTGGGCATTTAAAAGATATTATATTTAAAAACTAGGATACAATATTACCATAAAAATGTTCTTCTTTTAAATAAAACAGGTTTCAACTTCATAACGTTCTTAGTTCTATATTTATGAACAAATTAAAAGGGTTACTTAATTCTGAAACACCCTGTATAATAGCAGTTTCAGCGTTTAGTAGGCCGTAGGCCTGTCGCCGATTCCTAACATCGCAGAACATTCACAGAATTTTACGGTCTCGAACTCACAACACACTGCTACAATTCTGCTTTGCTTAACCAGAATTAGATCAAAGGCCGGATCCCTTGTGAATCAAGTCACGAAAAGTTCAAGAATCGGCAACAGGCCATGGGCCTATTTCTTCAGCGCCGACACTTCTATTCTAACCGCCCGGCCTCCTTGCCGATTCTGACCAGAAACTGGCGCACAGAGCTGGGATCAAACCCGCGCCTCTCTGCTCCAATCACGGTACTCTGAACTGTAACCACTGGGCCACCCCGCCCAGTTGTCACATAGCAAAAATCATGATGATAATGTGTAAATCTCCACTCTACACCGTACAAAAACGCATAATACAGACTAATATTGCTTAGATCAGCAGGATAATACCCATTGTTACAATGATCGTTTAACACTGACACTGCGAATGCAGAATGATTTGGTGGTGTGAATCAATCATTCATTCAATGAATATCGAGCTCTGCGAGAATTCGAATTGGCAAGCTATAGTTTTTTGTCAATTCGATGAGCTATACAATGTATTAGATGTCGAATGAATTGCAAAATTTAGTGGTGAATCAATCACGTTATCGTCCTAGGAGCCTTGCCGCCTTGGTAGTAGGTAATAATTTAACTTGCTAGATTTCCACTAGTACATTTCGTGATAATCTAATTTTCCAAAGGTGGACTTTCAACTTTGAATTGCGTATGAAGGCATAAGTGCAATATAACATCCATTATTATTACTTGCAAAATTGGGCTTATTTTATGAATTACTACATTAAAAAGCTGTGTTAGGTATTACATCCATACATCCCAAGACAAGTTTCCGGCATCTATATACACCTTCGATCATCCGTGATCGATATTAATTATTCAATTAAATGTGAGCCATTACACAATTGAATGTCACACAATTAAACACTCTATTAAGAAAAACGTTGAGGCAAATTTATGAAGAGTTTTGATGGGAGAAGACTTTGGGGAACAGGACAAATAAATTGATTCGGAATCGTACTAGAAATAACGAGTAAATACGGACGACAATTTTTCCTGTAGTGCAAATCGCAAGATGCAATTGTGCCATCCAACCCAAAATTTGCCCTGAGCTGCCTCTGAATTTGCGGCAGCGACTACCTCTACTGCATGTGAAGTGGCAAAGAAGTCACGACTCTGTCGTGCGTCTGTCCAAAATAGTAAATTGTACGTCACAGTT